CTCAGTATGGCGTAGGCGAATACGCATCTTCGAGATGACGAGGCGATGGTCGGTCCACCCGTCAGCGCCAGCGATTGCCTTTGTCACCAGCACGTCCCGCTGGTCTCGCCTCCGGACGAGGAAATAGTCCAGCAGGTGTCACTGACGCGACCGACGATGCCTCCAGGTGGCCTTCTCTCGCTCCGGCATGCAGAAGAACGTGTTCGTCAGGATGAGGCGGTGTTCTGCGCAGGTGCGTAGGAGCAGCAGACCATTGTCGTTTGTGCCGGGACCCAGCACGCCTCTCCAGGCGGTATGGTCTGTGCCGACGCGGGCGTTGAAGTCACCAAGGGCAATCAACTTGTCCGCCTTCGACACAGTCGCCAAGAGGGCGTGCAGGCACTTGTAGAATTTGTCTCTGACGGCGTCGGGGTTCGTCTCCATCGGAGCGTAGGCGCTGATGATGGTGGCGAATTCGCCTCCTCGCCGGAGAGGTAGACGGAGGCTCATTAGGCGATTGTTGATGCCCTGCGGCAAACAGGGCAGTCGTCCCACGATGTCGTTCCGAATGGCAAAGGCGACACAGTAGACATCGTCGGTCACGCGGTCGAACTATCGGGTTTGGTCTTGTGTCTGTATCTCATTTAAATACGCTAGTCGAGTAAGGTGTAATGCAGTCAAATATCAATGAGATTAAAAGTCGGGATCAAATTCACACTTAGAATAAGCCTTCACGATCTGGCTCTCGTGGCAAAGACGACGTTCTTTTGCCAGTTGTAAAAATTCAACTCCACGACCACACGGGTACAGGGAGAGTTTAGATGCTCATAACCTAAGTAAAGGTGTCCGCTGTCGACCTTCTCGTCTCCCTATATATTTACCATGATGTAACAGTGGCGGAGCCCAGACGGCTGAGGAAGACATCGGACACGTTTGCTTGTCAAGCCTTTCACCCGTTCTTCAGTATACCACGCCCATACCCATGACAGTCGACCATCGCGAAATCACACCTTACACCAAGGTGACCTCTGTACAAGCATAATGAACGGGGTTACCACAAAAACAAGAAACGAACGGCTCGGAGTCAAATCGAGTGAGAGTGTCATAGAGGCCGCATTAATAAGGAGCCATTGCAGCCTGACTCTCGGTCCTAAAACGAGGACGGAGCTATCCCGTCAGTTGGCAGTCTTCCAAGCCACGGCTTCTAGAACCTCGTAATGTTTTAAAGGTGCGTCAAATTGCTTATAGTGAGAGACATACGCTTAAATTCCGCGGATGCGGATTCCGCATTCTTTTCTCCTTACCCCCATGGTCCCGACGTC